ATTTATTTTAGACAGATTGAGCATGAGCAGGGGGAGAGGGAGAAGCAAGCTCCCCACAGAGCAGGGAGCCCATCAGGGGGCTCTATCCCAGGACCCTGGGATCATGACCTGAGCCACAGGCAGATGCTTCACCAGCTGAACTGCCCAGGTGCCCCAGGTTTTATCATCTTAACAGGAACTCTTTTCTTTTCTTTTTTTTTCTTTTCTTACAGAGAGAGCATGAGAGCATGCAAGCTGGGGTATGGGGAGGGGGAGAGGGCCAGAGGGCCAGGGAGGGAGAAGCCCAAGCAGGTGCCACAGCTAGAGTAGAGCCTGACATGGGGCTCGATCTCAGGACTCTGAAATCATGACCTGAGCTGAAATCAAGGACACTTAACTGACTGACCCACCCAGGTGCTCCACTAGAACACTTTTTTTTTTTAAAGATTTTATTTATTTATTCATGAGAGAGAGAGAGAGAGAGGCAGAGACACAGGCAGACGGAGAAGCAGACTCCATGCAAGGAGCCCGACGTGGGACTCAATCCCGGATCTCCAGGATCATGCCCTGGGCGTGAAGGCAGGTGCTAAACTGCTGAGCCACCCAGGCTGCCCTCTACTAGAACACTTTTTAACCTGGAAAGGACTTTTGAGATCACTCAGCTAACTTTAAAGCTGAGAAAACAGCAGGTGTTATATGCTTGCCCTGGTACAACTGATCAGAGAATCCTGTGAATTAGATAATAAAATCACGGAGGCCCAGAAAAACCTAGTGATGTTCTGGAACCTTGCAGCAAGTAGGTAGTGAACTGAGGACTGGAACCCAGTCCTCTGACCCTAATGCCCATGCTCTTTGCATTGTTTGTGGCTCTAAGAGTTTGTAGCCCTGTTGGCAAGATAAGCACATGAAGGTAACTGAAATGAATGTAGTATGTGCTGCAACAGACATTGGTACAGGGCACGGGTATGCATGCAAAAGCACAAGTAAAACCCTCCGGGGGTGACTCCTCAGCAGGGCACCTGGGGGCTCAGCTAGTTGGGTGTCTGCCTTCATCTCAGGTCATGGTCCAGGGTCCTGGGGTCGAGAGCCCCACGTAGCTCCCTGCTCAGCGGGGTGCCTGCCTTCCCCCTCCCTCTGCTGTTCCCCCTGCTGGTGCTCTTTCGCTCTGTCAAGTAAATAAATAAAATCTCTAAAAAAAAAAAGGAGCTAGAAGACTGAGCTGGAAAAGTATAGTGTGGAATCCTTAGCTACGCTTGGTGGCTGAAGCTGCTGGAATGGTTGAAGAGCTTTTTTTTTTTTGGTTGAAGAGCTTGGAAGAATGTTTGACCCAGCGGTGGGAGACAAAAGTTGGGGGAAGGCCGGTCTTTAAGGGGTGGGCAGAGGAGGAGCTGTAGCAGCAGGTGAGGAGGGGCTCTTGAGGTAGGCTGAGACTCCACAAGGGAAGCTGAGAGGAGAAGCCTGATAACTGATTACCAGGTCGAGAGCAGATCATTGCAACTCAGAGGTCACAGGGAATCTTCCATTTCGGGGGGAGTGGTAGGGACAAAAGTCCGTGAAGGAGGGAGCAGTGAATTTGTTCCCTGTACCCAAAGGTGGGACCTACAGAGGCCCTTGAAATGGTGGTGGGAATTCACACGGTAATGAGGCAGATGGCAGAGGCTGCTGCTTGCTGTGTGCAGCCTGGGCCCTGGAGAAGATGGGTCCGTGGTCTCAGTGGGTAGGGGTGGAGCGTGGGGTCCTTCATCTCCAAGCACAACCCACTCTCATCCTTCATTTCCTTTAGGGCGGAAATCGAAGGCCCGTGCAGACATCCAACTGCAGCTTCTTACGTCATTTGAGACAAGGATAGCTTTGTCCCCTCCGAAATGTTTCTCCCTTCCTACGGTTATTGAAAGAATGAGCAAACAAGCTCAATTTCTCAAACTGAGGGATTTGTGACAAACTTGGGTGTAGCACACTTGTTGAACAAAAAAAGACTTTCAACAAAGAACGTCTAGGCGATGCATAACCCTCCTTCCTCGTTGCACTTCTGCAGCATGTCTGGGCAAGGAGAGACAGTGATCATCTCCACTTCTTAGCCCGTTCGTCCCTGCACAGGGGTGGTGGTGGTGGGGCTCACTGCTGGGTGGGGACCCTGGACTAGGCTCACTGGGGACACTCCCCGAGGACCTCCACCAACACCGAGATTTCTCTTGTCACTTGGTGACCAGCACCTGCATTGCAGATATGGACCGAGGCCAGAGTAAACACAGGCCTGGTGTTGCAAAAATCGCACCTCTTGGGTGACCGCACATATTAGAGGATGTGGAAGGAACAGGCTTACATTTCAGCGGAGTAAGGACTAGGCAAGGTGGCCCTTCAGAAGAATACTTGAAAGGACCGAGGACTGTCTTTGCATAAAATATCTTGCTTGCTTTTTCTGTAGGAAATAGAAAAGAAGCTACCACTTTTTTTAAAAAAAAATATTAAGCAATAAAAAAATGTGTGTGTGTGGGGGGCGAGTAGGAAAACTGACCATTTAAAATCTGAGGACAGATATTCAAGGTAGTGGGTGGGACTTCCCCCTACTCCCTCCTCTGACTCACATTCCATCCAGAGGTACAAAGTGGAAAAGATAACTGATGGTTCCTTCCTACCTATATTTTTATGGAAAAACCTAATAGGGAACCAGTGCAACAGGAAGATCTATGTTCTCTTTACCCACCTCGGGAAGTGATGGTGCTTGGATCCTGGCCAACTGGCTGTGAATCCCAGTTCTGCTGTTTCTGGACAGCCTCTCTGGGTCTCAGTCGTCTTACCGGCCACAAGGGGGAGATAACGTCTGCCTGTCGGGTTGTCCTGAGGCTTAGTTACAAGATGTGTGCAGAACAACCCACAGAAAGCCCTATTAGTGTGGGCTCCCTTCCCCTCCAGAATGAAGGGTCAGAGTGAGAAGAGGTTCAGTGACTTCTCTCCAGGGTAAATGGACCAACCTGAGCTACCTTCTTCCCTGGGCTGGGAGGACTGACACCAGGCCGGTCATGTGGCTCAGCTGGTACTGATCCTGAGGGAGGATGGGGTGGACTAGGATTGGGCCTGAGGTGAGAATGGCCTTTCCTGGCAGCTCCTATGCCTGCTGCCAGAGGGAATGATTGGATGCTGTCTGAGGTCAGAGCCGGAGATACAGGTCCAGAAGGGATCCTGAGGGAAGAGGGGCCTGAGGGAGCCAAGATGTACAGTTAAGAGGGAGTCTGAGGAGCAGTGCATGCTAAGGACGGCAGTGGCTGGTCTGTGTGACAAGTCAGAGCCTCTTGAAGTGCACCAGGAAGAATGAGCATCCTGTGGGGGCTGCTTACAGGCATCCAGAGGATCTCCGGGAATGAGCTCTTGCCCACTGCCACATGAGACACTCTGGCATCCTCCTCCACTTCCAGCGAAGGCCGCTTCAATGTGGTGGTCCTGCGCAGGGTAACCCACAGGTGCATTCCGTTCCGCTAGATGGGGCTGACTGGGAACATTCTAGGGAGTCACTGAGCTAACTGGAAGAGAAGCAAAATAGCCACAGATTGCTGGGCAGAACCACTAGCTACAGCTCCCTACAGATTTTGAGACCTGGGTTATGACTCACAGAGCAGAGATACAAAGAGAGAACATTTCTACAAACAGAAGCCACAGCTGGCATGCAGAAGGACATTCCTGTGCCAGGAGGGGACATTTGCGTTGCCGCCGAGGACACGGCCGGGGCTGAGGCCGACCCCGGGTGGTTCCACCGTGAACTGGAGCAAGTTACTTAACTTCTTTCAGTTTTCCCCTTTTTAAAAGACAATGGGTTTGCACTATAGATTCTCTGGAAGGACACATGTTTTAGGGAAAGCTGCACAGATGGGGACCAAAGTGGGAGAGACACTTTTTACTTCATATCTTTATACATTTTCATTTTAAACCATGTGGATGGGTGTCCTATTAAAAGGCTAAATGAGAAAAAGAAAAAGACAAGTGGTGATAGTTTATACCTTATAGGATCACACAGCCTGCCAGATGCCAGTCACTCACGTAATCTATGGCTATTAGTATTCATAATGGGGATGGTGGGGGGTCGTTGGCCATTGATTTTTACCGTGACATTTTTGGTAGTCTCTTATCTCATATCCACATCCATGCCCTACACGCCCTGGCCTTACAGTATGTTTATGACCAGTGATAACAAGTTCAGCTCCTTAAAAGCAGCCTTTTAAGTGGGTAAAATGAATAAATGAGTACCACTGGCATATTAGACTGTTACATATACATATATGTTATATATGTCATATAAATATATATCTGTTTTAACACATTTTAACACATTTTAGAGAATTACATTACTGATAGTGGCACCTGGCACTGTATAAAGAACACATATAGATCCTTCACCTATATTCAGCAGTTGTTAACATTTTTTTATTTTTTTATTTATTTTTATTTTTTTTAGTTGTTAACATTTTGACCACATTTGTGTTCTTACACACACATACACACACCACCCACACACATGTCTATCCATATATTTTTTTCTGAACTATTGGAGTGTTAGTTGCTGATATGACACATCTGTAAATGCTTCAGCTTGTGTTTTCTGAGTATGAGGACCTTCCTACATGAGCACAATACAACAATCAAACCTAGAAAATCTAACCATTGCATAAGGCTACCTATATAATGTGTAGTTTGTATCCAAATGTCTCTGAGTGTTCTGGTAAATGTTCTTTATACTTGTTAATTTTTTGATCCAGAATCCTGTGTAGGGTCTTCCATTGCATCTTGTTGTCTTCTTTTTTTTTTAAGCCTATAACCTTAAGTAGGCTTGTTTTATCTTTTATGGCATTGACATTTTTGAAGAGTCTAGGTCAGGCTCTACTCTACCCTGCCCGCCTCCCCACCCCACTGCCCCCCGCCTTCTCAGTGTCTTATCAATTCATACCTGATTGTTTCCTTATAATTAGACTTAGGTTAAGTGTTTTTGGCAGGAGTATTACAATCGATGATTTCCAATGCTATCTTTTTTTTTTAATATGGGATGCTTCATGAATTTGTGTGTCATCCTTGTACAGGGGCCATACTAATCATCTGTGTATCATTCCAATTTTAGTGTATGTGCTCCCAATGCCATCTTTTATAATTTTTTTATCCTTCTTTTATGTGAAACCAGGAGTACTTTTTAAAAATTCTAACATTTTTATTTTCAAATATCCAGCAGGTCAGTTATTGATGAATGACTCCGGTCATCATATCATGACTGAAGCAGTGGGCTATTTGTACAGGTCACTTGATTTAAGGGCGACCTACCTGGGATCTTCTCATTCATCAATCCATGGAATCCTGCAGTGAGTTTCTGTTCTGTGTCTCACAAAGAAACATACTTTTGGCTATTCACATTAGATTTGTGACCTCTTGATGATTTTTGATATTTTGCAGACTTCTGAGGGAAATCGAATGGATCAGGAGTAGGAGATGTTGGCCTCAAGGCCTGAGCCGGCAATATTCTGAGGGTTCTAGGAATGGCACCTCATTGTGGGAGCACTTGCTTAAATTAAACTACCATAGCACTCAGAGTTCTAACACAGTGAGCTCTGCAATATGCATGAATGCACATACGCTGCAGAGAGCTAAAAGCATGGGGTTGGCGTCTCATACAATTAGAGATAAATCAAAGTGTGTTTCTGGAAAAGGGAAAAAGGTCTTGAGACCCATTATTTCCATTTCTATTGAGGAGAAGCCCTGATGGAAGATACAAAATAATGTTGAACTATGGAATGGCCCAGAGAAAGAAGCCTTGATGAAAAAGAAAGATTATTCCCCTAAGATTTTATCTTTGGGTAAAATGGATGGGGTAGGAAATATTTTACAGCAAAGGATTTTGTCAGCTAAAGACGCAAGTGGAAAAGGCCAAACCACCACAATTTACTGGCATCCCTTGGTAATATGGTCTCTTAGCACAAATAATCCCTGGGGATCCATGTCTGAGCTCATATCAGAAAAGTGGCTTTTTCATAGCTCAGATTACAGTTCAATTTCCTAGAAGAGTTTTTTTTTCAGAGAAGATCTCAGTTTGAAACCAAAAAGTTGAAGACCTCAAATCATACTAATAAAGTATAAAAATGATCATGCACTTTTTTTGTGGTTGTCTTTACTTAGAACTCTTTGATGAGATATTTCCTCTTATAACTCTTATAGGTGATGGTAAAGTCTAGGGTTTTGATTTTTAGGGTTTGATTTTTTAGCTCTTTAAAATACTGTAACAGATCGCAGCTAAAAAGAATAATTGTGTAGTGATTCACATTTGTATGGTAGGTAGAAGATTGTTGACCTCACAGGCTTCCATATCTAAAAATATGCTGAAGCAGTGTAATTAAAGTTCTACTGGTGTTACTTTTACCTTGCTATAGTTTATTTTGCATTTATGAATTGATTTTTCCATGTAAACAAAATTTATAATTGCTATCACCAAACCTTTTTTTTTATTTTGTGAAACATGAATAAGAAAAGATAAATTGGGATAAACCAATAATACCAGAGCCCATGGATTTGATATTTATTTTAAACATTTCCATTGCCTCTCATCAGTGATTTGTTACCCATTAACTGTTAAGGGTTACTTATTGGCTCCCTTATCACCCAACTAAACCCTACATACCATGTTAGGAAGCCAAATGGAAGAATGGGCTCAGCTATGTGACCCCAGGAAAATGATTTCACTTCTCTAAGCCCCAGGCGCATTAGGTATAAAACGGCAGAAATCCCAGCGCCTGCTTTTCAGGATTCCTGAGAGGCCTGCATGAGATACTGCGCACAACAGGGCTTCACTGAGCAGCGGCTGTTACCTGTCAGGGCCTAACGCAGAGGCCACTTTGTTTCGTGAAGCATCTTCTGGCCCCTCCAGCCAACAACCTAAGCCTCTGTGAATGCCTGGGTGGCCTTAAACCTTTTTCTATTTCACGCACGGCTGCCGGGTCTCCCAGGCAATGTGCCGGCCTTGGGAGTTATCCCCTGAACAGCCCCCCAACCCCTGTTCATCAGTAACCACAGTGACCCCTGGCTTGGGCTCCAGGGGGGCCGCATCAGTCTTCACGGCGGCAGCCGAGTCGGCTTCGGCCACGCGGAAATGTCGCATCGGGGGAGCTCCTGTTTATTTGTCTTTGGTGGAACCACGATGCACAGAGCAGGTGCGGCCAGCCTGGCAGATTTGAGGGAAGACAGGTGCACCGCCCAGGTGGGCGTAGGCAGGAGCAGGAGCAGGAGCAGGAGCAGAGCAGGGATCCCTGGAGGGGCACTGGCCTTTTAGGTTCTGCAGTGGGCGGGGGCGGGGAGGATGAGCCTCAAACGTATCAGCCCACACGTGGGACCTCGGTCCACTTGCCCCCTCACGGGCGGCACCGGAAGGACCCAACCCAGGGCTCCAGGGCCCTCATAGACCAGCCCCATCCCTGCAGGGCAGGACCCCGCCCCACCCCAGGCCCCGCCCCGGGCCCCGCCCAAGGCCCCGCCCCGGGCCCCGCCCCAGGCCCCGCCCCAGGCCCCGCCCCGCGGCAGCCCCGCCCCTACGGCGGCCACAGGGGCGGGCCGCGCCGCCGCCACGTGCTCCGACGCAGGGAGCCGCCCGCCCGCCGCCGCCCGCCCGCCTGCAGAGCGCGGGCCGGGAGTGGGCTCCGGGCGCCTCTGGCGGCCGAGCGGCGGCGGGCAGGGCCTCGGCGGCGGCGGGCATGGCCTCGGCGGCGGCGGCGCTGGCCCGGGGGGCCGGGGCGAGGGCGGCGGCGGCGCTGCTGGGCGGCTGCGGGGGTGCGGCCCGGGCGCGGCCCTTGTGTGCGGCTCCCGGCGCGGCCCCGGGCCTGAAGGGCTACCTGTGGGAGCGCTACCGGGAGGCGAAGCGGGGCACGGACGGTGAGTGCGGCGGCGCCGCCAGAGCCTGCAGCGCCCGGGGCCCGGCCCAGGCGGTCGGCGGTCGGCGGTCGGCGGTCGGCGGGGGAAGCGGGAGGAAGCGGGGGAAGCGGGCCCCCGCGGACCCCCAGGGCATTCCGGTCGCGACTCTCGGTCGCCCTCAGCGCCGGCGGCGGCGACACCTCTCTCCTGGGCAGCGCGATTCCGGGAGGCGTGGAAAATCGCCTCCAGTAGCTTCACCAGCCTCGCCCTCCTCCGGTGGGGAAAGCAGTCTTTCTTACACATTCTTGCGATTTGCGGCCGGCAATCTGCATTAGAGGCGCGTTGGTCTCCAGGGGCATCGCTCGGGAGACCGTCACCCCCAGCACCGTTGGGCATCGATAGTGACAAACAGTGATACTAGTAGCAGCCCGAGTCGGGCAGGCGGCGAGTCCCCTGCAGCCGTGCAGAGCCTCTGGCCGGGGCGATTTTCCTTTTTTTGTTTTGTGTACGTGCAGGTGCGTTGCTATGTTTGGAATAGGAGAGGTCTCAAGTTGAGAGTGTTCTGCTTCATCTCCTAACCTAAGTGAGGGGGGTGGTTCCAGGGAGTGACTGCTTAGGTGCCCGGTGAACGTAAAATCAGCTTGGTTCTGTTGTCAGTGGTGGCGATGGGCAGAGGCGGGAAGAGGCCCAGTAAATACCAGGCCGGGCCCTTGGGTTGTCGCCCTGAATTCCTCATACCTGGGGGGGAAGGTGCCCCTTCCCCATCCTATGGATGGAACCTGGCCGAGGTCACACCTTGAGCTGGGGTCTGTCTCAGCTGTGCACTCCCCCTCCCGTTTCCTGTGCTGCCCTACCTTCCTGAGGCAGCTGACCATCCGGGAGCTGTTGTAAGGGCCAAAGCCATCAGTGCTGCTTCTTTCAAGGAAGACTTAGGACTGAAATAGTCGCATTGATGTTGGGAGGGAGATGGGGTGGAGGTGGCAAGCGGAGATAAGGAGAGTATTTGGTGGGATCACATTTTCAGTCTTCTTGCCAGAAGTCACAAGTTTGATGAAAGCAAGCACGGGGCTTATTTTCACCAATTGGGATCATTTTCTGAGGGGACTCAAAGAAGCAAGCAACATAGAATTCTGTGAAATAGGGCTTCTCAGTTTTCCTTTGCCGAGTTAATTTTGCGCCATCTTTTGAAGTGGTTGTGTGGTACGATGGAAAGAAGATTGGCTTTGCAGACAGACATTGCGGATCTTAGAAGAAATATAGATCATCTAGCTCAGCTTTGGGATCTGTGAGACTTTTTTTAATTGGAATTTTCAATTGAGATAACTGTATATTTATATGCAGCCATAAAAATTAATACAGGGCAATCTGGGATACCTTTTACCCAGTTTCTCCCAGTGGTAACATCTTGCAAAACAATGAGTGACACAGTCTCTGAAGCCATTTTGAGACTGATACATGTCACAGATCTTGTTCAGCATCCTCCGTTTCTACTTGTGTTTGCATATTTTGTTCTATATGGTTTTATCACAAACAGGTTCAAGAATCTAGCCCTCCAGTCAAGATACAGAGCAGCTATCAACAAGGATCTCTCCTGTTATCTCTGTAGCCACATTCACTTCCTTACAGATGCTTTCCCTGATCTCTAAGGCGTTATCTGTCCTTCATTTCAAAGATTTTGGCATTTCAAAAGTGCTTTACAGAAGGAGTCTTACAGTATGTGACCTTTTGGAATTGGCTGTTTAAACTCAGCATAATTCCCTGGAGAGTTGTCCAGCTGGTTGTGTGTATTGTATCTGTAGTGCGTTTCTTATTGCTGAGTAGTGCTCCATGGGGAGATGTACCGCAGTTTAGCCTCCTTTTTTTTGTTTTTAAACTGTAGTGAACCATTTAATCGTACTTCACTCACTGAAGGCTATTTGGGTAGCTCCCAGTTTTTGAGTATTACAAGTGTGCTGTAAACATTTGTGTATCGGTTTTTGTGTGAACATGTGCTTTCATTTCTCCAAATGCCATTGTTGGGTTGAATGGTAATTGTACATTTAGTTTCATAAGAAGCTACAGGGAGCATTGTTGCCATTCTTCATGAAGCTTCGGTTTCATGGTCTGTAAAATGGGGATGGCGGTAGTAGTGCCACGTTGTAGGGTTTGGTGAGGAATGAATGAAGCCATCCATGCAAGGTGTGTGGAAGGCGAGTGAGACAGCTGAAGTGCTGGGTGAGAAAGATGAGCATCAGGCCAGAATTTGGGTTTGGGGTTTTGGGGTGTGATGATCCAAGTGAAATTTTGGAGTGTGACAGCTCAAAGGAAATTTTTGGGACCTAATTACACCAGATCTTAGGTGCAGGTTACCTCCTGCTCCGACCTCAGAGCGTTACCTGGGGGTCATGTGGGGACAGTCAGCACCGGCCTGGCACCCAGTAGATGTGCAGTGTGGTAGCTATTATTATCGGTTACTAAATGACTTCCAGTTTCAGACACATGCTTGGTGAGAGGTGGAGGTGGTTAGTTAAGCTCTGGGGTCTAGGTCCCCTCAGGTTACTAAATGACTTCCAGTTTCAGACACATGCTTGGCGAGAGGTGGAGGTGGTTAGTTAAGCTCTGGGGTCTAGGTCCCCTCAGGTTACTAAATGACTTCCAGTTTCAGACACATGCTTGGCGAGAGGTGGAGGTGGTTAGTTAGCTCTGGGGTCTAGGTCCCCTCAGGCCGGGGCAGTGAACAAGCCCAACCTCTCTAGCTTCGCTGTCTCTCTCCGCAGAAGGAGACCACTGGACTGGATGGTGTGTGATGGGTCTGCGCATCAGGTGTTGGGGTGCCACCCCAATCTTCTGCCCCCAGCAGTACTGCAAGGCTCCTGGAGCCCCCTGGGGAGCACAGGCACTTTCCCCTGACTCCTCTGTTGTCTCCCCTTTGGGCGGTGCCAAAGCCACCGGGCTGTATGTGAGAGCACCAAGCCCCGGGTCAGTGGGGTAGTGCAGCCCTGGCAGGGCTGGGGACGCACAGATGGGCGGGGTGGGAGGGAGGGGCCTGTGGTGACCAGCCCCATCCCACAAATGGGGACATTGGTTAGGGGCAGGTGAGCAGCAGCTCAGCAGCATCTTGGGGATGAAACAGAGCTGGGGCTTGGGCACAGAGCCGACAGCTGCTCAGCTGTGCAGGGTGCGCTGACCCCTGCAGGGCTGTCTACAGGAGTAGGGGTCACAAAAAAGTATTGATGCTCAGACAAAAATGTGTAGTTTTATGTTTTTTTTTTTTCAACTAACAAGAGACAAAAGTAATTTCTTTCCCCTCATTTTCTGATTACTGCTTTCTGGTAATTGAATCTCTCGCCTCATCCAAACAATCTGCTCAGGTATGTTCCCTTTGAAGGGTTTCCCAGATTGAAGCCTACTCCAGGAGGAGATGATTTTTACTCCTTGTTTTACCCTTTTTCTCCCACACTTCTTCTTTTTTTTTTTTTTTTTTTTTACTTATTTTACTTATTTTAATTGTTTTTTGGTTGATTTGTTTTTTAAGAGTGAGAGAGAGTGTGTGCGAGTGGGGTAGAGGGGGAGGAGGGGGAGAATTCCAAGCAGGCCCCATGCCCAGCGTGGAGCTTGACACGGGGCTCGATCTCATGATCCTGAGATCATGACCTGAAATGAAGTCATGGACGCTTAGCCGACTGCTGCCCCAATTCCATTTTTATTTTTAAAAAGTTTTTAAAATAGACTTTATTTTTTAAATCAATTTTAGATATACAGAAAAATCATGTGGTTTCTCTAAACCCTATCACGGTTTCCCCTACAATTAACCTCTCATGAGTATGGCACATTTGTCACAATCAGTGAACCAATATCAGTACATTGTCCATATGTATTACTTTTCACTGAAGTCTATATTTAATTCACATTTCCCTAGTTTTCAGCCTAATGTCCTTTCTGCTCCAGGATCCCACTCTGAAGAGCATGCTACACTTAGTCCTTACGTCTCCTTGGGCTTCTCCCACCTGTGATAGTTTTTGATTCCCTTGACTGTTTTGAGGAGACACGGTCACTTACTTTGTAGAGTGTTCCTCATTTGGAATGTCTTCCTTTATTTTTTTAACTTGGGATTTGGGGGATTATAATATTATGCATCCTGTGTCAAACTCAGCCTAAAGGGAGTGGTCTACATATATTTAAGAAAAGAAGTACTTGTTTATAACCTCCAGCAAAAGTTTCCTGTGGAACTGTTGTTCTCAGTTGCAGTCGGGGGTGGGGGGTGGGGGCATGTGGCAATGTCCGGTTACACCTGGGGGCAGGGATTCTGCTGACCTCTGCTGTGTGGGATCGGAGATGTTGCTAGACAGCCTGCAATGCACAGAACAACCTCCCTACGAATAATAATCCAGCCCCAAATGTCAGTGATGCCAAGGTTAAGAAACTTTGTCCTAAAATGGGCAATGCTAAGAAATCATTGTGCGATTGTAGTTTAGAGGGTTGGATCTAGTTGTGTGTGGTCTCTTCTTTCCTGTTACGCTGCACCTTGTATGCGTCTTCTTTGGACTGAGCCCTTGGCTGCCACAGAGGTGTGGATGGAAGCATTGCTGCTGCCTGGGCGGGCTTCTTCAGCCAAGCGTTGGGGTGCCCAGTGGTCCCCATGGGAACCTTCACATACCCTCTCGGCCTGGGCTGTTTAGATTGTTTGGCTGCTTAGCTGGGGCTGCGAAGTGTATTAACCTGTGGAAAGAAGTAGGGGGATTAATGGGAAGTGTTAGAAGCTTTTACAGGGTGTTGATGGATTTATTCAGAGCTCTTTATTGAGAGCATTTAACTTTTGTTCAAAAATTGTGTATTTAGTAAGGACTACATATAGGGCAGTGATATGAGCTTAGTTTATATAGAATAAACGTAAAATGCAAACCGTTCCCTTGAGGAACTGCAGTGAGTTAAGGAAACACCATAATAATAATGAGATAACTTTAAGATGAGTCTAGTGTTTCTCAGATTGTGTTCCACCATCTTCAGGAAATGTTGAAAATATGTGTGTTAAAAAGACCTTC